CTTGGGAGGCTGAGGCAGGAGAATCCCTTGAACTTGGGAGGTGGAGGTTGCAATGAGCTGAGATTGCACCACTGCACTCCAGCCTGGCGACAGAGTGGGACTCCATCTCAAAAACAAAAGACAAACTTTATTTTGCATTTTTAGGTAATATTTCTGATTATTTTCAAGTTACTTAGAGTTGTAGCTTTTCATCTGGAAAATGATATCAAGGACACTGATACTGTCATTGTTTTTATCTTATTGTTAATCCATCCCTTCACCCCTAAGTCTAATATAGTACAAAAATAGAAGTTGATATACTAAAGTTAATCTCTAAATGTATATTGATTTTTGATTCTCTTGTCTTGCAGACACGTTAGTCGTCATTGCCTCCGAAACCACTTTAGCCCTCAGCTCTGTGTCAGAAAGTAAGTTTCTAAGTCTGGAGATTATTATTTTTTTTCCCTTAGGGAAAAGCAATAGATTGTTGACTTAGATTTGGTGGATATGTATGAAAGTGGGCAGTTGTAGACAGTTGACTGAAATTTAAGTAATCGTGGTCACTGTTTATTGTTTGTGTGTATGCATGTTGTTTTTGAGACAGGCTCTCACTCTGTTGCCTAGGCTAGAGTGCAGTGGCACAATCAGAGCTCGCTGTAGCCTTGACTTCCTCAGCTCAGCTTCCTGTTGCTGGGACTACAGGTGTATGGTGTGCCACCATGCCTGGCTAATTTTTTGTATTTTTTGTAGAGACGGGTCTCGCCATTATGCCCAAGCTGGTCTTGAACTCCTGGGCTCAAGTGATCCTCCTGCCTCGGCTGGGATTATAGGCATGAGCCACTGCACCTGAACTTTCATGCTATATGTTTATTCTCAGCCTGTTGATGTCAACAGTTGCCTTTATGTGACTTTTAAAAAATTTTTTGTTTTGGAAATATTTTATACTTTCAGAAAAGTTATAAGATTCTATATACCTTTCACCCACATTTGTCAGTTGTTAACATTTTATTGTGTTTGTTTATCACTCTTTTTCTGTATTTTAGATTATGCTATATGAAGTTTTTATTTTTGTAGGTCAAAACTGGTGGAATATTAATGACTTAGTGTAGTTTAGCCTAATATATATTTAATTATTACTATTTTCACTGAATGCTTTAAGAGTAAGTTTGAATATCATGACCATTTACCTCTAAATGTTTCTCCTAAGGATAAAGAAATTGTCTTACATAATGCAGTGTAATTATATAAGCATAATTATCAAATTCAGGACATTTAACATTGATTAACTCTTATCTGATATACAGTTGATTTTCAGATTTTTCATTTGTCCCAAATAATGTATTTTATAGAAATACAATCAGCTGGGCACGGTGGCTCATGTCTGTAATCCTCACAATTTAGGAGGCCTATGCAGAAGGATCACTTGAGGCCAGGAGTTCAAGACCAGCCTGAGCAACAGAGAGAGACCCTGTCTCTACAGAAAATTAAAAAATAAAAAATTAGCTGAGTGTGGTGGTGTGTGCCTATAACCCTACCTATGGGGGAGGCTAAGGCAGGAGGATGTCTTGGGCCCAGCAGTTTGAGGCTGCAGTGAGCTATGATCATGCCAATGCACTCCAGCCTGGGCAATAGAATGAGACCTCCGTCTCTATTTTAAAAACAAGAAGGTCAGGTGCAGTGGCTGACGCCTGTAATCCCAGCACTTTGGGAGGCTAAGGCGGGTGGATCACCTGAGGTCAGGAGTTCAAGATCAGCCTGGCCAACATGGTGAAACCCCGTCTCTACTAAAAATACAAAAAATTAGCCTGGCATGGTGGCAGATGCCTGTAAGTAATTACAGCTACTTGGGAGGCTGAGGCAGGAGAATTGCTTTAACCCAGAAGGTGGAGG